TCCATTTTATTTCAATTAACTGTGCAGCACCATTTGTTAATTTTAATGTTATTAAATGAATTATAAGGTTTTCTTCAACTCAAACACCCTGTAGTTCTGATTTTCTGAACAGTATGACATCATACTGCTCAAGCCCCGCCCACGACTGCTGACGGACTGTCCCGTATTAGCATATTTCCACCCTCAGCCAGTTGTACGCTGTCGCCATTTTCTCCGCGCTCAAGCAGCTGTAGCGATGCAGGTGTTTTGTAGTTGGATGTAAAGGTGAACATAAAAGTCTTCATTTTCTCCCGACATCAGAGCCACTGAGGACGCAGTGGATTAGTTTTATTTTTGATGGTAATGCACCACTGAATACACTAAAATGGAAGAGAGGGGCGAGATGAGCAGTAGCTCATTATAATTTAAAGAGACATGCACCGAAATGGCTCACTGTGAACAGAGCTGTTTTTGACAAGGTAACAAGGGTGTTGTTTTACAAAACCATTGAGGAATTTTTTTTTTGGCATTTTTTTTTATGCCTTTTATTTATATAGGACAGTAGGTCGACAGAGAGAGGGGGGGGGTGGGATCGGGAAAGGGTCCACGAGCAGGGACTCGAACTCGGGACGCCCGAAGCGCAAAGGCACAACATGTAGGCCATCGGCACCGACCCATTGAGGAATTTTAACCAAAGTATGAAGACATTTCATGAAGACCATAAAGAATCATACCAGCTTGTGGAAAATTGGCATCTAATATCCCCTTTTAAAAAATTGTCATATCCTTATATTATATTATGTCTTTCTTTAAAAACATATTTTAACAAACTTCACTGTTTATTAATATTAGAAAGTATTCTTTTTTTTGGCCAAATCAAAGTCATGTGGTGCAACACTAACATGTAGAAAAAATAACAACAACATAAAACAGAAAATCATATCATGATGAGAACCCCGCAGTCCCTCATCACTGTATTTCACGGTCAATAATTAGCAGATACTTAACCTTCTATGACAAGGCAAGGTTAGTTCAGGTTGTGAAATGTCATGTGGTGTGACTCCTAATAACATAATGGTAATATCTGACGGAGGCAAAATGGATCTTTAAGCATCACTTGATTACCTGTTTTGTCTTCTGATCGCCCATATAGAGGCTCTTCTCTGGGTTGAGGACACCATGCCAATGCGTGAATCTCATCATCATGCCCCCTCAGCCGATGGATCACCTCCCCTTTCTTACTGATATCTATCACTACTATCATTCCATCCTTGTACCTTTAAGAGGAAGCATAAACAGTTAACATGCACGGCTGATGAGTCTAGAGCTCTCTCTAATCACAACCAACACATATTAAATATTAATACAATGAGGCTTTACCCCACTGCGATGTAGTTTTCCTCATGTGGGGAACAGGATAAGCAGAAGATTGTTCGAGGTTCAGGGAAGAAGCTCTGGGTGTCATTACTGCTAAACCAATAGCACACCACAATGCCCTTTTCATCTCCAGTGACTAGCAGAAGTTTCTGCACCGGAGACCAGTGGACTGCAGAGATGGTGCTCTGTTCAAACATGAACACGTATGGTAGGTCAGTCATCATGATTATCATTTAAGTCGTAGCCTAATGGTTAGAGAGTCGGACTCATAACCCAAAGGTTGTGGGTTCGAGTCTCGTACCGGCAGGGATTGTAGGGGGGGGGGGGCTGAATGTACAGCGCTCTCTCCCACCTTCAATACCACGACAAGGTGCCCTTGAGCAAGGCACCGAACCCCCAACTGCTCCCCGGGCGCCGCAGCATAAATGGCTGCCCACTGCTCCGGGTGTGTGTTCACGGTTTGTGTGTGTTCACTGCTGTGTGTGTGCACTTTGGATGGGTAAATGCAGATCACTAATTCCGAGTATGGGTCACCATACTTGGCCACTCCACTTCACTTCACTTCACTTGCTGATAATGTGAATGTGTTTTATGTCTTGCAAACTTAAAGTTGGTATTTTGTAATATATTTAAAGTCACCATGAAATGAAAAATGACAATTCATACTTTTTATGGAATATTGCAGTGTTTATTATAAATGATTTATTCATGCACATCATTATTTAAAAAAAATAAATAAATAAATCACATGCCCTTGTAATCAAAATGGGGAAAATTTTTTAAAATAAATCTCCGTAAAAGTGCCGACCTACACTGTTTCTCGTTCAAGACACCATGTGTTTTATGTCTTGCAAACTTAAAGTTGGTATTTTGTAATATATTTAAAGTCACCATGAAATGAAAAATGACAATTCATACTTTTTATGGAATATTGCAGTGTTTATTATAAATGATTTATTCATGCACATCATTATTTAAAAATAAATAAATAAATAAATAAATCACATGCCCTTGTAATCAAAATGGGGAAAATTTTTTAAAATAAATCTCCGTAAAAGTGCCGACCTACACTGTTTCTCGTTCAAGACACAGTTTCACTTGGAAATTAGTCACAATTTCTATTTCATGATGATTTTAAACATTGTTGTTGCAAACTCTGCTTAATTAAATAAGCAGCAAAAGCAGTTATGAGTTTATGGCCGTCATGGAGTTATATTGTAAATGAGAACATTTTTCATATCACAATAGTGATGAAAAGACGATGGCAATTTCCATTTCATGTAACATTGTTGCAAAATATCACCTCCCCAGGGTGAAATTTTGTAGCAGAATGACAGATTGTCCAAATTATTTGTGATATGGATAGAAAATTAGAAACTATTTATGTTTTGCATTGTACGCCATCATTTTCAAGTTAGTTATGATTTCATGGCTGTCATGGAGTAACAGTATAGATGCAAACATTTCCTGATGTTAACTGCAAATTAAAAATCTAAATCTAAAAAAATACAAATAAAGAGGGAAATTGTTTAATGAAAAGCATAAATAATTATTTATAGAGTAACTATTATAGTTACTCTGTATTTATGATTATTTTTATTCACTTAACAACATTTTAAATATACTGACAAAAATAACATTTATTTAATTTGGAGGCAATTAAACTGTTGTCAGGGCAAGGTAAAATGTTATTGTTGAGTCCAGAAGTTTTTACACTTTTACCACTGTGGAAAAGGGCAGAAAGAAAACTGTAATATATTACAAACCTTGTTATGGGAACAAACTGTGAGCCAGTCACAACACTTTAAGCATGACAGGTAGGATATTCACTCACTTGGTGGACATTGTGCTCTTTCAACAGAATTTTCTGCCCAGCATCCCAGATTTTGACTGTCTTATCATCTGAAGTGCTTGCACAAATGCGTTCTTGTCCATCATGGGGGCAAAATGCAAAACCAGAAACTCTTTCAGTGTGCCCAGTGAGTTCACCTGCAGGAAGAAGGTCTGATCAGATCGATGTGATTTTGCAAAAGCAAAGCATTGCATTAAAGCATCCTGAGCTCATACCTGTTACTGCTGGAGAGGATGCCGTCACATTTAGCAGATAGATTGTATTCTTTGCTCCAAAACCCAGTACTCCCTTTCCATTTATGTCACTGCAGCGTGAACAGTACCAGTTTGGAGAGGCTGGCAGATGTCTTTGGTGCATTCTAAAGAGTAAATGACCGCCGCATCAAGATCAGAGAATAAATTCACGGATAGTGACAGTGAAGTCTACTTCTCACATCCACTCATGCTGCCGAAAACACACCGGCTGCCGAATATCAGCGTGTGCTGTAAAAAATTATACGGAACGCGAGAAGGGACAGTGTTACTATAGAAAAAGTCAAATCTTTGTTTAATACCGACATATTCAATAGATATGTTGGTAGAAATATATATTATACGCCTTATTTATAATTAGAATATTTCTGTTGGAAACAATTCTACCCATAATAATAAAACGTATAACTCTTTCGGAAGTCACATTTGCCGTAAAGCAAAGCGTCGTAACAAATTCAAACGATTCTCATTTCCGACAGTCTGTTCATCCAGGTAGTTCAAAACACCACTTTAGCGATTCATATAAGTATCTGTTTTACATTATCTCGAGTCAGTCCATGATATCGCAGCGTGGCATAGTACCTGCTCTAAAACTCTAAAACCATTAAATCCATGTAGCAGCGTGGATGAGAACGGAGCACCTCGTTTCAACGGAGGTGTCGGTTCAACCGACTCACTAAAAAGATCCAAATCAAAAGAACGATTCGCTCAAGAATCGGACATCTGAGAGGATATAAAAAAGGGAGGAGTCATTATAGTCCACACTCCATACCAGTTGGTGGCGGTAATACCCCATTTTGTTGTTTGTCAACCGCCAATAAAACCTCAAAAGGTTATTTTTGTTGTTATTATTAGGGTTATTAATAGACATTGAAGTGGCATTAAGTAAAACAGAAATAAAAGCGATAATAGCGAAAGAAATACAAGAAATATGGCAGAATGAATGGAAATAAGGAACAAAAGGTATTTACACTGCATACAAGAAAAAGTTGGTTCAGAGCGAAGAAGATTTGGAAACAGGAAAGAGGACGTTTTAATAGCAAGAATGCGCATTGGTCATTGTTTATTAAATCAGTGCTTACATAGAATAGAACACATGAAAATGGAAATTGTGACAAATGTGGGTTAACAGAAACTGTAGAACATGTACTTATAAAATGTGAGGTTTATGAAAGAGAACGTCTCCAACTAAGTCAAGCTTTAAGATATTTGAAAAATAAATGATCTGTCACTCCAAGTTTTGTTAGGTGATGGACCTAAACAATCAAGAATATATCGCGAATTAGTTATCTATTTAAAGGAAAATTATTTTATTGATGAATAGGATTTAGGATACCGGTTTCTTTTTCCGTTTTTAATTTTTTTTTTATAAGTATCACTTGTTTCTAAACTTCCTATTCATTTTGCGCTTCACACTCCTTTCCGGGAGGTGGCGGGAATGCACCTTTTAAGTTGGTTTGCCAACCGCCATTAAATCCTAAAAGAAGAAGAAGATAATATGGCGGCCTCCTTGGTGACATGGGCTGGTGAGTCAAACCAAATATACTTTTTTTTCCTTTCTTCTTTTTTTTACATTATATATGCATTTCCGTTCATTTTGTTTTAACTGGAAATTATATGGACATTATTGATCGGTTTAGCCGCCATTGGTCGTGCTTGTGGACATATTCACTCTAGGTAAGAAAATCACATGCAGTTGCTGTGCAATGTAAAATGACACCGACTTCAATCTAATATAATCAGTGTGATTGTGTCTCAAAACATAACTACTTGTCTACCTAGATAAACAGCATTTAATCAAAAGTGCTGTTTAATGCTAGGGTTATTTATTGTTTTACAATCTGTCATGCCCCATTCAGGTTGCTTGGCTCTTCATCTACGTTATCTCAGATGTCATGTCTTCACACAAGTACACAGTTAAACGGCAAACACTGGGAAAGGAAAAATCTGATTGTGTATCCACCACAACAGAAAGATGAACCATGCAGACCTGCTGTTAGTAATTCATTTAATTTATTTAGCGTGTAATGGCGTTCATCATGGGGTTAACTTGTTATTGTGGGTTTGACTTGTGTTTTTGTTTGTGTATAATATCACTGCAGACGTCAGATTAAATACAGTCAAGTCAAGTCAAGTCACCTTTATTTATATAGTGCTTTTAACAATACAGATTGTGTCAATGCAACTGAACAGCATTAATTAGGAAAATAGTGTCAATAATGCAAAATGACAATAGTAAACACTCATTTTTCAGTTAAAAGGCAGTTCATCATAGAATTGTTATGTCATCATCCAGCTCAGTTCAGTTTAAATAGTATCTTTGCAATAATTTGCAATCAAGTCAATGATATCGCTGGAAATGAAGTGTCCCCAACTAAGCAAGCCAGAGGCAAGGAACCAAAACTCCATCGGTGAAAGAATGGAGAAAAAACCTTGGGAGAAACCAGGCTCAGTCAGGGGCCAGTTCTCCTCTGGCCAGACCAAACCAGCAGTTCAATTTCAGGGTGCAGCAAAGTCACATTGTGCAGAGGACTCATCTGGTTCCTGTGGTCTTGTCCCGGTGGTCGTCTGAGACAAGGTCTTTACAGGGGATCTGTATCTGGGGCTCATCTAGTTGTCCTGGTCTCCGCTGTCTTTCAGGGCTGTAGAGGTCCTTTCTAGGCGCTGATCCACCATCTGGTCTGAATACATACTGGATCCGGGTGACTGCAGTCAAGTCAAGTCACCTTTATTTATATAGCGCTTTTAACAATACAGAGTTCCTGGTTCCGGTTGACCTAATTAATGCAGCCTAAAAATCCTTTAAAGGATTTGAATATTATAAGTGTATTAGTGTGTTATGTGTAAGCCAGGTTAAAGAGATGGATCTTTAATCTAGATTTAAACTGACAGAGTGTGTCTGCCTCCCGGACAATGTTAGGTAGGTTATTCCAGAGTTCTGGCGCTAAATAGGAAAAGAATCTGCCACCTGCAGTTGATTTTGATATTCTAGGTATTATCAAATTGCCAGAGTTTTGAGAACGCAGCAGACGTGGAGAACTATAATGTAGCAAGAGCTCGTTCAAATACTGAGGTGCTAAACCATTCAGGGCTTTATAAGTAATAAGCAAGATTTTAAAATCTATACGATGTTTAATAGGGAGCCAGTGAAGTGTTGACAGAACCGGGCTAATATGGTCATACTTCCTGGTTCTAGTAAGAACTCTAGCTGCTGCATTTTGGACCAGCTGGAGTTTGTTTATTAAGCATGCAGAACAACCACCCAATAGAGCATTACAATAATCTAACCTTGAGGTCATAAACGCATGGATTAACATTTCTGCATTTGATATGGAGAGAATAGGTCGTAATTTAGACATATTTTTGAGATGGAAAAATGCAGTTTTACAAATGCTAGAAACGTGGCTTTC